CCAGGTTGGAATTAAGTGCTCCTGTCTATCTTGAGTATCTATATTATTGACTTAGCTTTTCACCGCCTGTGCACATAGAAGGTGCCAATTACCCACTACCCATGGTCGTGTTTCGCCTTTTTGATTATGCTGATTGTCCAGAGGATGTATGTAATGCAAAATTTTGATCACGCATTGAGCTTTAATTATAGAAATGTTTCTTAGGGTACCGTTCTGCCTGGTGCTCATTCCATCGAACGGTTCCTGATTGAAGAGGAGCTTAACTTGATAGTTGCATTCAACGCTGCTGACCGAAGAATATGGTGATTTTTACCTTTTCATAGTTCACACTGAATACTCTGGAAAAGGAAGAACTTCAAATTTTTTGTACATGCCCTTTCCTTGATGTTTTCCTCTGAATTTTGTACTGAAGTGAAACTTTTCCGTCATGGTAGTTGCTGTCAAGATTGACTTCTATCTGATGCGTGCACGGCCATCTGCGTCTGCTTTCAATATGCCTAGAGTCGTTTGTGATGGTTTTCTTTTACATCAGTTTGATTTGCTATGTTCTCAGTGCTGAAGAACTTACGAACTATGCACGTGGAGCAAACGTTCCCATCGCGTACATGATACTCGAAGTCCTCTTCTCGCAGCTGTTTCGTCTTCCACATCCACCTCAGCCTACTGGTTTTTATGGTGAGTCGGTTTCAGAGAAAGGGATTGATACGGTTCCCAGTTTTTGATTTTAATCTTCTTCTCTTTTCTACGAACGTCTCGTAGAAATCAGAACTCGTCCAAATTTACATGTTATTTGCAGGGCCTCTACTTTTGGATCTCTGTAGGCTGCAGCCGTCTACCATGCCTCAAGTCTTAGCACAGGCATCAGAGTTGTTATATCAGCGTGCCGGTACAATGCAGCCGTTGTGTCTCGATAGGTATATTCTAGTGCTTCATATTAGTTGTGATTATTCCAACTCCATCTTCAAGTGTTTCTTATAGATTTGTGGATTGGTTCAGTTTTCATCTGTCCAATTTTGGTTTCCGTTGGTCATGGGATGATTGGAAAGATTGTCTCACTGTGAGGATTCGTTTTTATCTCCTGCCAATGGTTTGAAAACATTAGCATTTTTCAGGCTGACAGGTGGGACGCAAAGAAGATCTTCGCTCGTGAAGTGATAGA